TGAGAACATTTGTTTTTCCACAATTCGAGGGGCCGCACACGATCGCGCGGATACTAGTCGGTAGCATCGTACCATGCTTGCGTTTCTCAGCGTTATCCCCTCCCATCGACTGTAATCTGTCATCGTAATTCCTAACGCGTATCGTCAACGGCTGTCGCACAAAATTCATTTCTCACACTGAAAGGGGGAGGGAAATCGTGCGTCTATTTATAGGCGCGTGAAACCGCTCGGTAGACGACACCTATTTAACCAGGCGCGACACAACGAATCGCTCAGTAGTGAAAATGTTTGTCCTGCTGTCAAGTCCTTCCGCTATCTTTGATTTAACCGCCGAGCAGTTACAGTTTATTCCGAAAACCGTTCTGTTACAAGTGTGTGGCGATTACGTCCACTACGTGTGGGATAAGCTTCCGGAACATATAAAGGCGGATTCGGAGGTCCAAACTTATCGACGCTGTTGCGCACATTGCAATCAACCGTGGCAGCGGACGCACATCGATGGTCCCGCGTCAATGATCAAGGATTGCTACGAATGTCAGTTGACGCAACAGCGGTAAAACGTGGCGGCAGTCTGTTGAATCGTGCAATAAACGCGCTTCCTTTCGAGCTGCATATCCCTGGTTATCAGTTTTGCGGCCCGGGCACTCGTCTGGAAGAACGATTGGCGAGAGGAGATCGAGGGATAACTCTATTGGACGCGGCGTACCGCGAACACGACATTGCGTATTCCCGCAGTAAAGAACTCGCCGAGAGACACGTGGCGGACAAGATACTCGCCGAGAGAGCACGGAAACGCATTACCGCTAGAGATTCAACGCTTGGAGAGAAAGCTGCTGCTACAGCTGTTTGGGCGGCTATGAAAGCTAAGACAAAGATCGGTATGGGTTTGAAAACAAAGAAGAAGAAGAAAAGAGCGACAAAGAAGCGGATTCTTCCGGTAGCGAAACGCGGTGGTTTATTGCCAATTCTACCGATGCTGGGCGTGCTAGGATCCATGATTGGCGGAGCAGCCGGTGTGGCGAAGGCGGTGAACGATGCCAAAGCTGCGCAACATCAGCTCGAGGAGCTGCAACGTCACAATCGCGCGATGGAAGGTCGCGGAGTGTATCTCGCTCCATACAAACGTGGACGAGGTGTAACGAAACAGGAAAGGAAAAAAAACGTCAAAAAACTTTAAAAATGCCTACGGGTGGTAACGACGAACGTGCAATTGGACCAACTGGCAAGACGAATGCGTATACGACACTTTAGAGGTGTCTTTATGCGAAATGCATTACTGATAAGCGGCGTACATCGAAACGAGAGCGGTATCGTCAATCTGGACGACGCGACAGGTCCCGGCACTCACTGGGTAGCGTACGCGAAGAGGGGAAACCGTGTGATATATTTCGATAGTTTTGGTAATCTCCGACCGCCTAAAGAACTGGTGTGGTATTTCGGGGATGGTGTGACGATAGAGTACAATCGAACGTCCCATCAGACCTACGATCAGAGCATCTGCGGACAGCTGAGTCTACGGTTTCTCCAAACGGTTGACGACAGATTCACACAGATTTAAAGTCTGGCGAGACGTCGCGAGGATTCAGTACACGCTGAGCGGTATTTCATCCATCATGTCGCTGACACTCACGCTAACCGGGAGGAGTGGAGTCCTCGCAGTAAACTACTTTCCAACCATAGACCTGAGCGATGGCGATTACGAGCTCGGTTTAATGAATTTTTCGACTTACAACACGATATCGAACGTGAATGCCTCGAATAATAAATTTTACTTCGGCAAAGATGACATGGAAATTACGATTCCCGAAGGATCCTACGATCTGCAAGCGATAAATAAGTTTTTGAAGCGTGCACTTTTACGGAAACGTCTGCGTCGGTTCATAGCTAATGACATAGCTAATGACATAGCTAATGACATAGCTAATGACATAGCTAATGACATAGCTAATGACATAGCTAATGACATAGCTAATGACGACGGTGAAAAACGCAGCGACGACGACGACGATGGCGATGACGATGAATACCCGATTGTGCTGCGCGTTAATTACAACACGATGAGGAGCGAGATCAAATGCGCCTTCGGAATAAACTTTAGCAAGCCCAACAACATTGGATCGCTTCTGGGATTCTCATCGACGCGTATACTGCAACCGCGAAAGTGGCATGAATCAGACCTGCCGATCAACATTACCAACGTGAACATTATCCGCGTAGAGTGCAACGTGACCGCGGATGCGTACAGCAACAGCAAGCCCGTACACACGATACATGAATTTTCACCGAGCGTGCCACCGGGATATAAGATATCGGAAACGCCGACGCAGATCATTTACTTGCCAGTCATCGCACGGAGCATTACTGATTTAACGATACGCGTTGTGGACCAGAACGGTCGATTGCTCGATTTTCGCGGAGAAGAGATCACTGTCAGATTGCACATACGTCGGAGACGACGATAACGCGTGCGAGTGTACATGAGATGCTCGTACTGAACGGATCGGAGCAAATCGTGAGACCAGTGGCGTCAACTTTCGATAATATCAAGTCGTCCGATTGCAGTAGGAAAAAGAAACTCACTCGTACAATCCGTTTGCCAACACGACATTTGGACACAGCGATGAGATAAGAATACCTATACAACAACAGGATCTCTATACGTTGCCGCATGAAAGTTTCCTGTATATCGAGGGAAAACTAACTACTGCCCAACAAATCCCTGAGTCCAATGTCGTACTGGGAAATAATTGCGTCGCGTTCATGCTCGATGAGATCCGATATGAACTTCATGGCGTGGAGATTGATCGTACCAGAAACGTTGGAATAACCAGCACGCTCAAAAACTACGTCTCGGCATCAGTCGATAAAATGGCGACTCTGAAGAATGCTGGCTGGGAGGCGGCGTTCAATGGGAAGGGAGATTTCAATTTTTGCGTACCGCTCAACATGCTATTGGGATTCTGTGAAGATTACAAAAGCGTGGTAATTAACGCTCGTCACGAATTGATTTTAATACGATCGCGCAACGACACCAATTGCCTGTTTGGAGCTGTAACACTGGAGCCACAGCTTGAAATATTCAAGATACAGTGGCGAATGCCGCATGTGTTGTTAAACGAGGTGAACAAGCTATCGATGCTACGTACTTTGGAAAGTGGACGATACCTCAATATGTGTTTTCGTTCATGGGATCTCTATGAGTTTCCGCTATTGCAGCAGACGACTAAACATTCGTGGGTTATTAAAACAGCTACTCAGCTCGAGAAGCCGCGATATGTTATCTTCGTTCTGCAAACAGGTCGGAAGAATATAATGTCTGAGAATGCGTGTAAATTCAGTCATTGTAAATTGAGCAATGTAAAACTCTATCTGAACTCGGACTGTTATCCATACGATGATATGAATCTGGATTTCGATAAAAACAAATGGTCGAATCTGTATGATGCGTTTTTACGATTCCGGAAGAGCTATTACGGAAACGATGATCTTGCGCCAGATCTCACTGTCTACAAATTTCTAGAATATGGTCCGTTTGTGATCATCGATTGTTCTCGACAAAACGAATCGGTCAAGAGCGCGACCGTGGACGTGAGATTGGAATTTGAGTGTAAGGAGAACGTGCCGACGAGCACCACTGCATACTGTCTCATCATACACGATCGCGTGGTTCAGTATAACCCGTTGACCAATGTCGTGCGCAAAATCACCTAGGTAATACATTTTGGACACAGTGGTTTCCTCCTCTTTCCAATACAGTTTAGAGGGGATGAAACGATTTAAAATCTACTATGCATCAAGAGCAACCGCAGTATTCCTCCTTCTCTCGACGTGTTCAATCATGTCCATACCGACGTTTGTGGACTTGCAAGGCTACGTCGTCAGCGGTAACTTTGTCGTGAAGGAATTTGCTGCTCTCCGAGAGGAACGCGTTCTCTCTCACTACATTTTCACATGTCCCGTACCATGGAAACTTCTCACCAAAGCGGAGCAACGTCATGCATCCTGGTTGATTGCAAATCGTCACGGAGTACGATGGGAAGACGGAATGATTCCATACAGCAGGGCTAGAAGTCTGATTACAACGGCTGTGGTTGGCATGGAAGATGATGATGATCTTGAGATACCGTTTCTCGTCTACGTCAAGGGACACGAAAAACGAGAATGGCTGCGGAAGTTACTCCTGGACGACGCGAGAGAAAATGTTTATATCGAAACTATCGACGCACACTACGAAGACATACATCTCTAAATAAGTTGAACGTTACACATACTTTTCACTGCCAGAAACATGTAACAAATTGTGCTTTACAAAATGTTTTTAAACTTTACAATTGGTGGTCCAAGCATGAGAAATAAATATGTAACAACTTGTCTTTGTACAAGAAAAATGTATTTAAAATATTCAGTTGGTTATGTAACCATAAAATAAATATATTTCTATCAATATTGCATTAATTTCTTTTTCCACACGTATCCTATACTTCTTTCCATTTGCGCACTCTCCCTTCCACAGCATATTTTTAAATTTATTCATATCTCGATGTTATATGTATGGGTAGGAAGCAGAATTTACCTTTTTCGACCCAGACCCTTGACCATGTTTTCTCTTTTGAAATGTGGGATTATAAGCTTAGCTAAAAGGATTTAAAATCTATCCGCGCATCAAGACGAACCGTAATATTTCTCCTTCTCTCGACGTGTTCAAACGAGTCACGACATGTCCATACCAACGTGTACATCTTCGCCTCGATCTTATATGTATGGGTAGGAAGCAGAAGAAAAAAATGTTACTGGATGAAAATTTTATTTATTATACAATTATTAATTTTTTTCGTTCATCACCTCGTTTTAAGGTTTCAGCAATAATTTCATCTACAGCATAAACTATTAATTCACAATCTATGACAGAAGTTTTATCATATACCTCGTACAGTATACCAATTGCATCATCTCTCTCGGCACTGGTCATATTACTTTGCAAACAACACACAAATTGATCGAAGCTTTCAATTACAGCTTCTATACCCTCCGACAGTTTGCGATATACATGCTCTTCACAATGTTCGAGATTGAGTAAAAAGAATACAGTTGACATGTTCATGTACATGCAAGTGTCATCTAACGTGAATTTTACAACTTTTTTTTGTACATTCTAACAAGTTCTAAAACTAAATTGTCAATCTGTACCGATGATGATGATGATGATGATGATGCGTCTGTTGACTTGAAGAGCTGCTCTATTTCGGCACGTTTCTTGTTAAATTCCATCCACGTTGAATGATTTAACGCCATCTTATTTCCACGATTGTCGCCGAGAATGAATTCCACATAGGATGCATCAGGTACCACGCAGATTCCAACATCCAAGTATTTGTACGCGGTAGATGTCAGGGCGAATCTCCTGCTCATGATACGAGGCGTGTAACGAGGTTTATCAGAACTGAAAGAATACATAAAGTAAAATAAATACAAGTAAATTAGGAAAAGTATGAACAAATATACAATAATTTTAGAGTACTTACGCATCATGCTGTTTCTTGCACGAAACAGTTTCATGTCGAGAAACGGATGGCATATAACTGCTTCGAGGAACATACGGCATGTAACGCCGATTGCTAAAACTGTTTGAAAAATACAATTAAATGTGGAAAAATGTGTGCAATATAATATGCAATATATATAACTTTACGGTACTTACGCGTTACACTGTTTCTTGGACGACATATCCAGAGGAACGTAATGATTCATTCTTCTAACACTGTATTGGAAACACCGGAGCAATCGACGCACTTCGACGGCGACGACTGACACTCTGAGGGCGTCTTTACTAGTTGAAGTCCCAGGAAAATTTTTAACTTACCCCACCCTTAACCCTACACTTCCCCCACCCACTCATATAGAATAAGATAGAATGTGATAGAAAATATATTGTTAGTTACCTTTTACAAACTACAATTCTATATCTCCAACAGAGTTTCTCCCCCAACCAGTAAAGAATTTTAATCCTCCAGTAATCTGTTTACTCCAGTAAAAAATTTTAATTCCCCCACAAATCTGATACTACAATTCTACAGGGTGAGTCTTTCCATATCCGACAAAATTTTTGAGAAGGTAGAACGGATCGAGATGAACGGAAAAGTCCTGTACCATTTTGCAATTTTCGTAATAGTTAACGAGTAATTAATTGTGAAAAATCGTTGTCTTAGGCCGGCCTACCGCCCAATTTGAGCGCGTGGAAAGATGTGACCGCCCGGCGATCGATATTGCTATGCGCACATATCGCCACGCGCTCGAATGGGCGGTAGGCCGGCCTAAGACAACGATTTTTCACAATCAATTACTCGTTAACTATTACGAAAATTGCAAAATGGTACAGGACTTTTCCG